TTTTTTCCCCCCCCCCCCCCGATGGAATGTCAGCCGGGTTCAACTCTCCTGGACAAAATCTCCACTTCTCCTTCGCCGATAACCGTCTGATCTCGTTAACCCGATGTTGTACATACTGACGCCACGGTTTGTTGTTCTTAATCCAGCACAGAGTAGTGAATGAATCCACCCAATAATACACATCGAATTTGAATGCAAGGGACTCTAGAACAGAACGAATAGAGAAAACCAACTTTGCCAACAGGTAAGCTCCCAAGAGTTCCAATCTAGGAATAGATTGTTTTTTCAGTGGTGCCACTCTTGTTTTAGACGCGATAAGATGCACATCGATTGTTCCGTTTGCATACTTGGACAACAAGTACACCACAGCTGCTACTGCTTTCTCTGATGCATCACTGAATCCATGGATATCATGACTGAGAAGTTCTCCTGTACCTTCTGAATTGTTTTGGAAATAACATCGCGGAACACTTATCTCGGATAGTGCACTGACTTCGCCCACCAGGGAAGTCCACCTTTTCAACCATTTTTTCTCAAGGGCCTCGTCCCATTCAACCTTGCTGGAACACAGCTCCTGGAACCACATCTTTAGATTCACCGTTATTGGGCTGATCAGTCCGATAGGATCAAATATTTTCGCGGACGCTTTCAATATCGATCTTTTTGTAGGTGGCAATGACTTCAGATATTCTATAAGTTGTACAACATCAAAACTGAAACAGTCCCTTTCGGTATTCCAGTTAAGACCAAGAATTTTCACTTCTGATGATTTCTCTTGCAATTTCTCAGCTGCTCTAAGTTCAGGCGATGTGTCCGCTAATAGATTGATCTTCGACAGTTCACCTTCCGATGATTTGTGTTCTGACGTTTCTTGATTAACATTCTGTTGATTCGTGGCAACCGTATTCTCAAACTTATCAATTCGTTCCTTCAAAACTTTCGAATTAGTGCGCCATTTGCGCAGGTTGAATCCGCCTTCGCTCATAATATGTTTAGCTTTCTCGTAAACGCCAAAAGCTGCTTCTTCTGTGTAGCTCCTCCTGGGAAATCATCCACGTACAACGAACTAGCTAGGAGCTTCGAGACCTCAGGCTCGGAGGAGGCATACAATGATAAATGATGTTTAATTGTTCCATTGAGGATCGCAGGGCTAGAAGTTAAGCCAAAAACTAATCGACGGAAACGATACTGGACCATTTTTGGGGTCTCATCTTCGATATTTTCCCACCAAAGAAATCTTAGCTTATCTCGGTCTGACGTACTCACGGATATTTGATGGAATGCCTTTTCCACGTCAGCAGTGAGGGCTACTGGATGGCTTCGAAATCTAATCAGAACATCGAAAAGATGCGGAGTTAAATTTGGCCCTGTCTCGAGACAGTTGTTGATAGAATGTTCACTATCAGTGTCCTTCGCTGATCCATCAAATACGATGCGTAACTTCGTTGTGGCTTTGTCTGATCTCACAACTCCGTGATGAGGCAAGAAGTGAACATCTTTGTTATTCTCTTCGTCAGCTGGGACTCTTTCAATGATACCTGTCCTCTCCTGTTCCTTGAAAATATCGTCATACTGGTCTAATAGACCTTCCTTACTTAAACGGGAGTTCAGATGATGCAATCGAGATACACATAGTCCAAAATTAGAATTTTGCAAAGTCTGTTCCTCCTTCCAGGGAAGATCAACTTGATATTTTCCTTCGGTCTTGTCAAATGCAATGTCCTTCAAGAATTCCTTTCTTTGGTGGTCAGATTCAGTGTAATCAACTATGCCAATGGACTCACTGTCCCAAAAACGTGCCAAACTATCAGTTAAATTGGATGGTTGCTCATAATTTAATATGGAATAGCTTGGTTGTTGGAGTATCAGGTTGGATGTTACATGGTTATCCCCATTCTTGGTATTTTGTACTGGGCCCGAAACCATCCAACCAAACTTGCTGCTGACTGCTGCCAGTCCATTACTCTCTCGAATGACATGTCCGGTTATAACATCCCAATAGTAGTCCGATCCTATTAAAACATCAATGTCATCATTACTATTTGAAGCTGTGTTATAGTCGGCAAGATCCAGCTCTAAAAACGAAGGATAGCTTTCTAGGTTTATTGTTCCAGGTAGTGGCGAACATATGTTACCAAAACTCAGGGCTGCGATCTTTATATCTTGGCCATTTTTTCCTTGTAGCGTTAATTGGACCAAATCACAGTCTTTCTTCGAGAAACCGGCATCACCAAAGGTATTAAGATTTAATGATTCTTTCTTGATGGGTTTCAAACCAAGCTTTTGCTGTAGACCAGTTGTGACGTACGATCTTTGACTTCCAGTATCAATGAGCACTCTGACAGGTAAGACTTCTGAACCTTCATTGGAATATGCATATGTCCTTGCTGTCTGTAACAATACTCTCGTTTGACTTCTTGTCACAGATGCAGTGGTTGTACCATTTGACGATTCATTGACAACAGCTCCAGTCGTGGAAGCTTGCCCAGGTTTGTTCTCTGGTGGTTGACTCGATGGGTCCTGTGGTGGTCGACTCGAATTAAATTCACAGATTGACTGATGATGCTTTCCTGGGCATTTGCGGCATCGTCTATTGGAGGTGCATTGGTTTATTCGATGACCCTTTCTCAAACATAAAAAGCAACGTCCTTGTCTCTTCAAAATATTCTTTCGGGCTTGTGGATCTTTAATCTTCTCACACGAGGCGGAAAAGTGTTCTGCATCACAAAACACACAACGTATATTGCTCCCATTTTGATCTCCTGCGAAAAATGCACCCGTTGTGTGCATTCTCTGTCTTGGCTGAGTACTTGGATCCCTTATCTTCAGATTACTACTCATCTCTCTTGCTTGCACTTCACTCTTTAATACATTCAATACTTCTTCGATTTGCCAAACATCTTTCGTTGTAACTCGAGCGATCTGAAGACGAACATCTGGTGGTAATTTAGACATAATGATGGGTATGAGAAAGCTCCCGTATTTATCAGATGTCACTCCCAAAGACTCCAGACCACGAACATTGACCCCAACCTTATCAGATATCAGACGAAGCTCAGCAGGTTTGTTTCCTAAACATGTAGGCAGTTGCAAAAGTTCATCCATATGCATTGATATTATATGCTGTGTATTCCCGAAACGTTCTTCAAGAAGATTCAATGCAACATTATAATTTGCCTCAGTTAAAGGCAATCCTTGAATAACTCTAGCAGCTGGACCTTCCAAAAGTCCTTGCAAATAATTAAACTTATCGATTGGTGAAATGTTTGGGTTCTTATTAACTGAACTGTCAAAACGATCCCAAAATGTTCTAAATTTTGTAATTTCGCCATTAAATTTTTGTAGAACCAACTTTGGTAGCTTTGGGGTCACAGTAAAACTGGATGGGTATGATGGTGCCCCCTCTACTGGCTCTACAGAAATACTTGTGGGGTGTTCTTCAGTAGGTAAAGGCACATTCTGCTCGGAAATACTTTCTTGCTGTTCAGCCATGTCCGTATTTTGCGTAGGGGGTGCATTTATATTGCCTGACAACGAGGGCTGTGACGTAAATGTGTTCAAACACTCAATCATACCTCTTATTTCTAAAATTCTCGTTCGTATTGCGTCAGCATCCTCTATTTCTTTCTCAATTTCTTCAACCTTACACAACGACAACATTTCATCGTCCATACCTCGTAATAATTTCTCTTTCTCCTCAAGTAAGTTGTCTAAAATCTTCAAACGTGAACGATTCAACGTGGTTATCTCGGGGTTTTCAACAATCGACTTCGCTTCTTGTATAAATTTTGTTGTAACTCCACGATGCCCCCTTCTTTTTGCCTTTAAACGATCAATATCTGTCTCACTCATGGTAACGAATACTTCAAAATTCAAACGACAATCAAATTCAAACAAAAACGATTTTTAAACGACGAAAATACGTCCCACGTTGGGCGCCATGTTATGAATATGTAATTAATTTATTCTAAAACGCGCGAAAATTATACGGGCAATAACAACACAAAATAATCGCGACAAAAATATCGCTTAAACTAATAATCTACGTTACAGACCATTAGGGAGCTTATGCTTCACGTTCATAGTCATACGTCAGACGAAACATTTTACGGTATAAGGGGCTGTTTATATGGAAGCGAGCCAGCTTGGGTACCCGAGCTGGCTCGTCTTCCCGGGATGAATTTCACCACGCGTTTACATGAGACTGCTCAGGCGGGCTGGCTCGCGAAACAAGCAAAATTTTCCCCGGCACGTGTATTTGGGCATGCGCAAAAAGACAATATTTTACTTAAAAGCCGAGCCAGCTCGGGTAAACGCGTTTATATGGAAAACAACCTAGCCCGCCGGTTACCCGATGTCCCGGGTCACAAGAAGTAGGATTTCGGCTAGGCGAGCTAGCTCGGTTCTCATGTAAACACAAGATGAAATTTATTAGGAGTAGAAACAAAGGGTACCCGAGCTGGCTCGCCTCATATAAACAGCCCCTAAGACAATAAAGGGAAAATGAACTAGCTAGTTTAAAACTGTAATGCCAGTATGGTGATTCTTTTGAGATGAGAATGAAAATATGGAAGTGAAGAAGTTAAGCGAAAATTTGGTAAGAAACTACGATTCTACAGTTACCCGTTTAAAGAACGTATCTTCCTGATCGGCCAGATTTTCACTTGATCGGCAGAAAATCACGACTGCTGATCACCATGATCGGGAACGTTGGAAACGTTATTTCGAGCCCTGAACAGTGAACAATGCTAATATCGCATGCCAATACCTTCCTTAGAGCGACATGATTATAGTACACATATTTGATGGTGACAAAATGCTCATAAGCAATGTACCGTATTTCCTCTATTTAGCCCCTTTGGGAGCTTTTTTTTTGCTAGCTTTTAAGTGGGGACTTATTAGAAGGGGGGCTAAATAGAGGGTGGGGGCTTAAATAAATTTTCACCCGAAATTGGTATCGTAAATATACTAATGGGGGCTAGATAGAGGAAATGAGGACATGCAATGCATGAATAAGGTGGCACAAATAGAAAGCCAAATTTGGTTATAAAAACTGTGTAAAATACATTAAATACTATCAAGCATTCAAGGTTTACACTTTAAAATTTTAAATACGTCGTTATGCATTACTTTATGTAAAAGCGGCGCCTGGGGGCAAATTCACAAAATGACTAAACTAAAAAAGACGTAAGAGACGTAAAATGATTTATATTCTTGTTGAGAATTAAAAACTAAAGCTGATGGGGGTCGTTAACTTCAATTGACCCATTAAGTTGCTACCCCGCGTTTCTAAGGAAAAACAGAACTTACCAATCAGTGACGATTTTGGTTGAAAGTCGTATTGGCATGTCGAACCTCCATTAAGGATTTAAGCAGCGGCCCTCCTTTAAATGTCCACACTCCACTTTCCATTTAATAGGAAAAATGAAAGTACCACAAAAATGGTGGATATTCGCCATCGCGAGAAAGGCTAATTCTATCACATATGTTAAATTTACAATTTTCATTCTATTTAGTAATTTCATCACAATGTTGCTTGAACTAGTGATTTTGGTATGCACAATACTGCTTTTGGCCCACGGAATAAAGTGCGTGATATTATTACGTGGCCTTCCTCCAGGTCCTCCAGGATTTCCTATCATTGGAAGCCTTCCAAGTATGATTTATTACTCATCTCGGTTTAAATTTCTGACCCTTACAAAAATGGCTAAAATATATGGGGATGTTTACACCATACATCTGCCTGGCAAGCCGATAGTTGTTATCAACTCCAAGGAAATGGCTCGCACAGCATTGGTAACTCAGCGGGATACGTTTTCAGGCAGACCGTATTTCTTCACACAGTATCGTTTTTCTCGTGGAGGAAAAGGGCTAGGATTCAGTGATTTTAGTCCAACATTGCTTCTTAACAGGAAGATTGTTCATTCGGGCCTAAGAATGTATCAACCCCATTTAGAAGGAAGGATTATGTTAGAAGCGGAGGAGCTGACAAAACGGTTACAAAAACATAACGGTCAACCGTTCGATCCAAAAATGTATATTTTTCTAGCTGTAGTCAACGTCCTATATTCAATTTTGTATGGAGCCAAACACCTCGAGGTGGACGACACAGAGTTCCTGGAACACATTGAGTATAGCGACGGAGTTGCAAGTCTCTTGGGCCCCCTAAAGTTACTGAACATTTTTGGCTCCATGGCTGATCCACTTTCCCATCCCTGAAACGAAGCTGATGCTCGAACTTATCAAGAAACGTGCCCGGATTAGAGATGCTCGATATTATGAAATAAAGAAGACGTTTCAGGAAAACCAGATCCGTCATCTTCTGGACGCTCTTTTACAGGCAAAAATAGACGAAGAAAGAGAAGACGCTAGCACTTGTGGGGTCATGACAGATGAGTATATAATGGCGTCCAGTGACACGCTCTTCCGAGCAGGATCCGAAACAACAACGACAGCGCTTCATTGGTTGGTAGCGGTATTGTTAAACTATCCTGAAATTCAGGAAAAAATCCACGCAGAACTGACTAAGCAGTTTGGAGAAGAAATGATTTCGTTGGAGAAGAAACGTAACTGTCATTACCTTGAGGCCACTTTAACGGAGGTCCTTCGTTGTGTAACTGTGGCTCCCATCTTTCCACATAAAACGACGTGTGACACCACCCTCTCTGGGTACCACATTCCAAAAGATACCACTGTTCTTCTCAATATCTGGGCAATCAACCACGACGAAAGGGAATGGCAAAATCCTGAAGAGTTCAACCCAAACAGATTTTTGGATTCTGAAGGTCACTTCACGGGTACATCAAAGGTGAGTTACATACCTTTTGGATCTGGAAGACGCATATGCCCAGGCGAGTCATTGGCAAAGACAGAACTGTTTCTTCTTTCAGCAGCAATGCTGAAGAAATTCAAATTTGAAAACCCCCCGGGCTGCAGTCCACCCGATCTCAAGGATGGCGTGTATGGCTTGACATTTACCCCAAAATTATTCACGGTTATTGCCAAGGAAAGATAATTTTCTTAATTTCTAAAACATTTAAATAATCCCAAATTCATTTCGCTATTTTGTTCACTGATTCTCACAGTTTTGTATGCAATCTCTAACTAAGAGTTAGTAATACTTATCATAATAAAATCAATCATATTACTCAATATATCAATTTGTGAATAAATCTTAAATATTTATCAAGTGTAGGGCTTGAAGCCTCGAACCTCCTTCCTTTGCGAACGCTATTACTGTATATATTATCATTTAAAATTCACCCTTTTTCATTTGCTCACCAAACTGTTTCGCCGTTTTTTTTATCGTATCTTTAAAAAGCACTCCAAACAGCATTACAAACCCTCACGTCCCTCTAAAGACTTTGCTTTTCCTCAACTGACCGCACTAATCTCATGCACGCAAGTATACAAAATGGGATGTACAATTGACACTGAAGGAAAACGTTCTTCAAAAAGCTCAACAAATTGACTCACGACTAACTAATGTTTTCTCTGTGGTGTGTTTTAGCAGTGATAAACGCAAATAAATCTCACTTTTTGGCTGAAAAAATAGCGGAAAATCCCAAATTATGTTAGAAATTCCTCGAGAAATTCATTTTTGAAAATGAGTGACATGCGGAAAAACGCTAGCATAATCGTTAAGAGCCTACACGCCCTTCATGTTTAGCTGGCAGGCCGTAAAGGAAAATGAATAAAAATTAATGTTAGTGATCAGTACTACTGTACAATGATATTGTTGGCGGACTGTATTACGTTTTTGCGCATCTACTGGATTTTTTCTGAAACCTGTTTCTATAAGTTCAATAAGGGCACTAAATTGTGAGAAAAAAATCACTATGTTTTAGTTTCGTAGCATTCTTTTTGGATCGAAATTTTCGATCAAATGCCAATGATGCGGGAAATACCGTTTTAGAGACACCAAGTTTCAAACATTTCTGACCCCCTAGCTAAAAATGCATTGTCGATGGTGATGTATCCTATTTTTGCCCCCAACCTCGGTCCCAGGGTACTTTGAGAAAGTATTCTGGTTATTCGTGGTGGCATGTAGTAAAACACTGACTACCGGAACACCGGAACACCACCGGAACACCACCGGAACACCACCGGAACACCACCGGAACACCACCGGAACACCACCTAACCCTAACCCCAACCCTAACCCCCAACCCTAACCCCAAATAAAATGGTGGTGTTCCGGTAGTGTTCCGGTGGTGTTTCGGTGTTCCGGTAGTCAGTGTTTTACTACATGCCTTCGCGGTCACGTGGTTGCCCAGAAGATTTTGGGCAGCAATTCTTGGGTTTCATATGACGTCATCAACTCTAAATCGAGACAGTCGTCGGAGTGAATTAATTGTTCACTGTATGTGTTGGCCTTGTGTTTTGTGGTAAATACGTGCAATTTCGTGTCATTTGTTCACTCCAGTACAGCATAAGCATCGACACATTTTAGGTTGACCCCCGTCAGATTCACTGCGCAATGCTTTAGTGAAACCCAAGAATAGATCTGTCCGGTAATTACGTCACGACTAACACTGTTTTCAATTTAGGACAACTTAGGACCACCTTAAATGGAATGTTGATTTTATAGGTTGTAAAAAAAGGTTGTAAAAAGGTTGTATTTTAAATGTATTTTAAAGGTTCTAAAAATGTTGTATTTTAAAGGTGTTGCATTTTAAAGGTTGTATTTTAAAGGTTGTATTCTAAAGGCTGTAAGAAGGTTGTACTTTAAAGGTTATAAAAAGGTTGTAAGGACTTACCCTCTGAAATGCGAATACTGGCATCATAACTTAACAAGTCGTTCTCTGTTTGACCTTGTAGCTCAGATTGTAGAGCATCGTTCTAGAAATGCAAAGGTCGCGGGTTTGAATCCCAGTCGAGTCAAGTAGATTTTTCTACTTGCCAGGCTTGGTCTACACTCGTCTGACAAAAACTGTACATAACATTACACAAGTGGAATCGTCAACGTGGGAAACCACAACATTCATATACAACATTCATATACAACATTGCCATAACATTCATATACAACACTGCCAGACTAATAGCTGGCTTCGCGCATTGAAGGACTAATCTCCGAAATGCGAATAACATCATAACTTAACAAGTCGTTCTCAGCTTGACCTTGTAGCTCATATTGTAGAGCATCGTTCTAGAAATGCAAAGGTCGCGGGTTCGAATCCCAGCCGAGTCAAGTAGATTTTTCTACTTGCCCAGCTTGGTCTACACTCGTCTGACAAAAACTCAATAACTGTATTTTAAAGGTTGTATTTTAAAGGTTGTATTTTAAAGGTTGTATTTTAAAGATTGTAAAAAGGTTGTATTTTAAATGTTGTATTTTAAAAGTTGTATTTTAAAGGTTGTAAAAAGGTTGTATTTTGAAGGTTGCATTTTAAAGGCTGTAAAAAGGTTGTATTTTAAAGGTTGTATTTTAAAGGTTGTATCTTAAAGGTTATAAAAAGGTTGTATTTTAAAAGTTGTATTTTAAAGGTTGTAAAAAGGTTGTATTTTAAAGGTTTTCATTTTAAAGGCTTTCAAAAGGTTGTATTTTAAAGGTTGTAAAAATGTTGTACAAAGTTGTAAAAAGGTTGTAAAAATGTTGTAATAAAGGTTATAAAAACGTTTGTAAAAAAGGTTGTAAAAAGGTTATAAAAAGGTTGTATTTTAAAAGTTATATTTTAAAAGTTGTATTTTAAAAGTTGTATTTTAAAGGTTGTATTTTAAAGGTTGTAAAAATATTGTAAAAATGTTGTAAAAAGTTGTACTTTTTACAACTTTTTACAACATTTTTACAATATTTTTACAACCTTTAAAATACAACTTTTAAAATAAAAAGGTTGTAAAAAGGTTGTAAAAAATGCTGTAATAAACGTTGTAAAAAGGTTGTATTTTAAAGGTTGCATTTTAAAGGCTGTAAAAAGGTTGTATTTTAAAGATTGTAAAAATGTTGTAAAAAGTTGTAAAAAGGTTGTAAAAAGGTTGTAAAAACTGTTGTAATAAAGGTTGTAAAAAAGTTTGTAAAAAAGGTTGTAAAAAGGTTGTAAAAAAGTTGTAAAAAAGGTTGCAAAAAAGATTGTAAAAAAGGTTGTAAAAAGGTTGTATTTTAAAAGTTGTATTTTAAAAGTTGTATTTTAAAAGTTGTATTTTAAAAGTTGTATTTTAAAGGTTGTAAAAATATTGTAAAAATGTTGTAAAAAGTTGTAAAAAGGTTGTAAAAAGGTTGTGAAAAAGGTTGTAAAAAGGTTGTAAAAAATGCTGTAATAACGGTTGTAAAAAGGTTGTAAAAAAGGTTGTGAAAAGGTTGTAAAAAGGTTGTGAAAAGGTTGTAAAAAGGCAAGTCGATCCCAGGGCCTTATAAAAAGGTTGTAAAAGGTTGTAATTAAAAAGGTTGTAAATAAAAAGGTTGTAAAAAAGTTGTAAAAAAGTTATAAAAAGGTTGTAAAAAGGTCGTACAAAGGTCGTACAAAGGTCGTACAATGTTTTAATGTTTTAATAAGATTCGGCAACTACCTAAAAATACAACAATGTAGTGCCAGGGAGTTCACCACAGTTCCCCCAATTACGGCGATCCCTTAATATTTACATAAAAAATTACGTTCAAATAATTGATTAACGAAACAGACAAAGTAGAAAAACACAATTACAAAACGGCTAAACTGACAACTAACAACAGTTTAAAACACCATCAAGGGATCTAGCCCTTTTACATTTAACACAGACAGATTTCCAAGTCCGAGGATCGTCACAGTTATACGTGTTCGATAGTACGTTCTTATAGTACAGTTTCAGTCCTGATTTCAGTGCCTTTTTTAACTATATATCTGGGGGGCAATTGCCCCCCCCCAGGGAAAGAATTCCCCCCCCCCAGTAAAGCCATTTCTGCCACCGAAGTGCGAAGCAGAATTGCTCATGATTGCTGTCAGAATTGCGGTTGATTTACTTGATAATGAGATTATGCCCTTCCATAGCCTCCCCCGCAGCCATCTTGTGTGTAATTCATATTGTTCTTCACCGAGTATTTCATAATAGCGATAGATTTCATGCAAACAATCCGATAAAATGCTGGTTCCAAGAAGAATAGATTTAGTTTAGCTGTAAGAATAGATTTTTAACTGTTAAATACATGTATGCATCATCATAGCATGAATATTTCTTCTCAGATTTATTCTGTATCGTATGGAAAAGCAACGCAATTTTAAGAATGCGGAAATGGTGTCTCATAGAACCTAAAATGATTTAAATGCAACATTTCTGATCAAAATCACATTGGGATTTTCTCCCCCCCCCCCAGAGAGGAAATAAGGTGACACTGAGCCCTCCTCCTATTTTCGCTGACAAAACCAAATTTAAAAAACTTAAATCAGATCCTACACTAACCCAATTAACGACCCTTCAAAACTACCTCCGAACCATTTATAACCGCGGTGAAATTACAAGCGATACATTTTCTGAAGTTCAACCTCAATCCACTAAACCTGCCCGCGCTCATGGCCTTCCTAAAACCCACAAGAACTTTGATACCTTGCCACCTTTCCGCCCTATCATTGATACCATCGGTACTGCCTATCAACCTATTGCCAAATACCTCACGAGATTGCTTAATCCGCTCACTATGAATTCGCACACTTTGAAGGACAGTTTTGAGGCTGGTTCTCGCATCCAAAACATTCCAGAACAACTATTCAGAGATGGTTATCGATTTGTCTCTTTTGATGTCAAATCACTTTTTACAAACGTCCCCCTCAAGAAAACCATCAACATAATCCTGGATAGAACTTACAATAAGCAGCAAATCAACACCACGTTAAAGAAACGGACACTAAAGAAACTCCTGCTCGACTCGTGCACCAAGACCCCCTTTTCCATCAACGGTGAACTTTTCAAACAGATAGACGGTGTTGCAATGGGTTCTCCTTTAGGTCCTACTCTTGCCAACATCATCATGACTACATTTGAGGACGAAATTGTTCAGAAATTGATTGATTCAAACCTTATAGCCTTTTATGCCCGCTACGTTGATGACACGTTAGTTCTTGTTAAACCGTCTGATGTCCCTGAATTAGTCCTCAAAGTTTTCAACTCATTTCACCCTCAGATCGAGTTTACATTTGAAGAATTCCCTGATGGTATCGTGCACTTTCTTGACCTGCAGATCAACTCTTTGGACCGCATCACGATATTTCGCAAGTCTACACATACTGGTCAGTATACGCACCTTTCTAGTTTCACCCCATGGTCTTATAAGACAGCTTGGATAAGAGCTCTCGTGAACCGTGCGTACAGAATCTGCAGCAATCAACAGTTGCTTCAACATGAACTCAAAACCATCCAAGACTTCATGTCTTGGAATGGTTTTTCTCGCAACATGGCGAAGAAACTGATCAACGCTTTCACACCATGTCATACAAGCAACAACATGCAAGATTCTGATGAGTCGACATCCCCTCAAAGTCTACCGAAAATATGGCTACGCTTACCATTCATTGGCAGATACGGCAACACTTTGACAAAAAGTTTATTAACAAAACCCGCCGCTTGCTGAAAGGTCCATGCGAGTTTATTCTGCTCTGGAAAACCACCCAAGTCAATTGTTTTCTATCATGCAAAGATAAAACTCCAAGTGAATATCGAAGCTCCGTAGTTTACCAGTTTTCCTGTCCTGGTTGCAAAAGCTCGTATATTGGCAAAACAGATCGTTGCCTTTTCACGCGCCTTAAAGAACACAATAATCGCGAAAGTTCAGAAATCAATGCCCACATTAACTCTTGTGAACACTTCCAACACATCAAAACCCTAATGGAACTAACGCCTGATTCTACTGAAACTATAAACACTAACACAACACAACTTATATTTGAGAACTGTAAGATAATTGATAGATCTGATCACTGGTCTCTACTAGTATATAAAGAATCCCTTGCAATTCGCAGAAGGATACCAGAACTCAACCACGGTGCCAAAGCTTCAAAAGAACTGATCATATTTCAGTGACACTATTAAGCTCCTCCTTAACTATATATATCAGTATTTGTAATTTTACACTAATCTGTCCTGATGATGACTAAAATATAGTCGAAACGTAGATTCATTAAAGCTACAAAATGTTATTTGGAGTTACTGTCCCTTTGTATTTTATAACTACAAAGAGTTGAAGTTATTGTTTAAAGTAAAATATAGGTGAAGTTAATAAATTAAAGTTTTACAAAATCTCTCTTCAGACTCGCGCGTTCGCCAAACCTCGACGCCTCATATTTTTCGTTCTGCCTTTTTTTCCTGTTTTGCCCCCCCCCCCCAGTGAAAATTCCTTAAAAAAGGCACTGAATTTTTTGTTATTATTCATGTGACATATACAATTCATTTAATATTGCATGCATTTACCATTATATGAGCAAAATAATCAACCAAAATATAAGTAAAATAATCCCAGAAGAGATTCAATCTATATCAGAATCTTCCGGTTCGTACTGTGGACATCCCTCGTTATTCAGACAGCTTGAGATTGCCTTGGCCTGCTTCAAACCAGTGACATAACCCCCTTGTACGAATTTCCTGTAGTGCTCATGAGTTGCCTCCCCAGCGAAGAATAGAGCACCCACGCGGCCTTGCAAGTTATGAAAGTCAGCCGATGCACTACCAACAACAGCAATGCTTAACGCACCCCGGATGTAGGGATTTTGGTTGAATTGGCCAACTATGATGTCTAAATTTCCAACAAATATTGTTAATGTAGCAAATATATAAGTATTAATGGTGTGAGAAAAAATTTTCTTAACCTAAATGTTGCAGATATTGGTGCAAAAAACGCGTTTTAAGCATGTTTTAAGAAGAATTTGTCAGGGAAAATGTGTTTTTAACCTTAACTAAACTGATGTTAGTCCGGAAAATTTTTTTGATCCTTTTTAATATGTCCTGAAAAAATTTTTATGTCTGAAAAATTTTTCTAAACCCCCCCCCCCCCCCCCCATCGACACAAGCAAAATTATCGACACAAGCAAAAAATTTTGAAAAAATAATCGTACCAGTTGGAAGTGGATATCACTTTTCTAATGGTCCGTCCCTAATGCAGATGTTTATATCCAGATGATGAAGAATAAACAAACCGGAGTGTTAAAAGGTCCCGTATTTCTTTATTAAAAAAATGCCATGGTTTGCTGCACCCAATTCACAACTTTTAATTTTGATGAATCAAATAGTGCCAATAGACTAGTTTTCCCCTTATGAGTGCAATTTTGATCTAGACATGCCTGGACAAATATTTCATCACAGCTTGAATATATTTTGAATAATATTTCATCACAAATATTTCATCACAAAATTAGTAATATTCCGAAGTTTTGTTGCGAAATGTTGTAAAATGCGGATAATATAGCCTTGCGAAGTTTGCCGGGTTTTTTAATCATTTTGCATTACAAACGGGAAATTGATATTCAGTTTGATCATCTGATTATCAATTTCCCGTTTGTAATGCAAAATGACTGAAAACGGCAAACTTCACAAGGCTATATTATATTTTCTGATGCTCTTTCAAGCTGTGATGAAATTTTTGTCCAGACGTGTGTAGATCAAAATTTCACTCAAAAGGGAAAGGTCTATTCACTATTGAGTGTTGTACTCATAGATATCTTATATACACTAGATAGCGCATCTCTTTTAGTAAAACTGAAGCCAAAAATATTCCAGCGGTTACCCCCATTTGAATAGATGGCGGCCATGTTGGCCGGTTCCCACTCGCTAATAAACACTTAAACAACAACAATAACTTTCATCATTTGAATACTTTAAAAATGTATTTGGAATAGGGTTAACTTAATATTTAAGTTCCCTGTTTAAGAAATAGGAAATATACGAATCTTCTCTCATTTCATGCGAACGTCCTGAGACTGCAATCACGACTTCAATTTTTGAATTGCAGAATAATTAGATGCACTATCTAGTGTATATAAGATATCTATGGTTGTACCAGTCTATACGGAAGCCTAGCTAGCCTTTGATATAGCCTAGGAATTACCAACGGACTACGGGAATTACGTCGCTAATCTGTATGAAATTAAAAACGTGCGGTGAATAGTCAATATCGCAATGCCAGAAATTTGTGATGAACTAACATTGACTAACTTTGGGCTATTTTTCCTCGATCTCACGAGTAATGAGGTATTTACAAAAGGGTAAGGGTAGGTTGTTCGAAGCCCGTTTAGCCAAAATGGTGGTTACCTCGAAACGAAATAACTCTCTTGTACATCTCGGAATGAGTGAACTAAAATCTTATGCACTAAATATGTAGTTGCAAACAGAATTGTTTTATTTCGATCGGTTGAAAAATTTTAGTTTGGTGGTTGTGGTGCATATGGAACTCAGGTGTAATAGTTCAATGTTCATGCTACTCTGAGTGCAACTCATAGGTGCAGCTCCACAACGGGCATGGAAAGCTGAAAAATAGCTTGACGGCGATGGGATTCGAACCCGCGACCTTTGGTATGCTGGTCCAACGCTCCACCAACTGAGCTACGAGGTCAAGTTGGTCCAAGTAAGTCATATTTCGGAACTGAGTCTAGTTCCTTCGATATCTGTATATAAATTAAGTCTAAAATCTATTCTTTGGTGGCTGTGGTGCATACTAAAGGTCGCGTGTTCGAACCCCACCGCGGTCTGACCGCGGTCAAGCTGTTTTACATCTTGCCCGGTCTTGTTTTGAATTTTGAGCTTATCCTATAAGTATAAGCCAAACGAGCTTCGAACAACTGGCCCCTGAAACTTACTGTACCTGTGGGCTCTGGAATACTGACGTTTGGATACATTTCTTTCAGTGTGGCCATGATTTCAGCTTTCGTCTTATTTTTACTTTGCGCCTCGATACGAAGAGAAGTATCTTCCGCTGCAGTAAATAACAAAATATTTGAACCTTCGTGAATTCCCTTCTTGTTGTAGTTATAAATGAAAGGAAAGGTTTCACTTATAGATCCTGCGTTGATAAAAATTAACTCGTTGTCTTCCCAGAACGCGGTTGGAAACTTTACATAAATGTTGGTGTAGTAGTCAAGCGGGAGGCCACTTTGGCTTCTCTCTTCCATTTAGGTAATTCCGGAACAAATTCCACCAAATCCGAGGCCAAAACACCAGTGCTAAATGTGCATAAACCATATTTCGCCTTGTAGGTTCCGCCATCTTGTGTTCGCACTTCGATTCCATTTGAGTTATACTTTATTTGCTTCACGACCTTATTCGTTTTAATTTTACCGGTGAAGTTTTGAGCCAAGTGGTCGATAATTCCTGCAAATCCCCGGGGGTCTGTGACGATGTCAACAACTTTGGGTTGGCCTGAGTAATGTCGGGTGGAAAGAAGTGCGGGTCTGATGACGTAAAGTTGCCGTTGAACAGTCATCTTTAAAATTGTGTCTGGGACCCAGCCATTTTGTGCCAAAACGGCGCTGAATGGTTGGTCTCCTTTTCGTGGGTTATTTTTATTCTCCTTGACGGCTTTTGCCTCTATTTTTTTGAAAGTTATTAGGGTTTTTAAAAAATCTTCTTTGTCATAGATGGTATTCCTACAAGAAAAACAAACTAGTACTAATATACACTCTTGAAAGCTCTAATATACATTTCTGTCTAGAAAACAACCGATATCGTAAGCTGTGTTGCGCCATGTTATGAAACACATACAGCCATGTGTGTTACAGTGGCCCAAGGGAGTAGGAAGCTTGTAAAGGTTAGAGAGCCTGACGTACTCCCACGAGACGCCACTCGTTCAAAGTATAATTTGCATAAACAATCTATTCGATATCACTCTCTATCTCAAGCTCCTACAATTTGGAACAGCATTCCTCTCACTCTTTGTAACTCTTTTAATAGAGCTAATTGCAAAAGGAAACTTAAATCATTTTTTCACTTCCATTACGGTCGTTTGAGCACTGTGGCCCCAGTAGTGTTTCCGTGTTGTACCACATGCACGGTGGTAAGAGCTCGTCATGTGTATAAATACGGTTGCACTACATATCTCGTGTCCAAAA